CAATCAGAATCTAAATATGGTGCTACCAATCAGAATATGGGGTTACCAATCAGAATCTGAATATGGTGTTACCAATCTGAATATGGGGTTTCCAAACAGAATCTAAATATGGTGTTACCAATCTGAATATGGGGTTACCAATCAGAATCTGAATATGGTGTTACCAAACAGAATCTAAATATGGGGTTACCAATCAGAATATGGGGTTACCAATCAGAATCTGAATATGGTGTTACCAAACAGAATCTAAATATGGTGCTACCAATCAGAATATGGGGTTACCAATCAGAATCTGAATATGGTATTACCAAACAGAATCTAAATATGGGGTTACCAATCAGAATATGGGGTTACCAATCAGAATCTGAATATGGTGTTACCAAACAGAATCTAAATATGGTGCTACCAATCAGAATATGGGGTTACCAATCAGAATCTGAATATGGTGTTACCAATCTGAATATGGGGTTACCAAACAGAATCTAAATATGGTGTTACCAATCTGAATATGGAGTTACCAATCAGAATCTGAATATGGTGTTACCAAACAGAATCTAAATATGGTGCTACCAATCAGAATATGGGGTTACCAATCAGAATCTGAATATGGTGTTACCAAACAGAATCTAAATATGGTGCTACCAATCAGAATATAGGGTTACCAATCAGAATTTGAATATGGTGTTACCAAACAGAATCTAAATATGGTGCTACCAATCAGAATATAGGATTACCAATCAGAATCTGAATATGGTGTTACCAATCTGAATATGGGGTTACCAAACAGAATCTAAATATGGTGCTACCAATCAGAATATGGGGTTACCAATCAGAATCTGAATATGGTGTTACCAATTGAATATGGGGTTACCAAACAGAATCTAAATATGGTGTTAGCAATCTGAATATGGGGTTACCAAACAGAATCTAAATATGGTGTTTCCAATCTGAATATGGGGTTACCAATCATAATCTGAATATGGGGTTACCAATCAGAATATGGGGTTACCAATCAGAATCTGAATATGGGGTTACCAATCCGAATATGGGGTTACCAATCAGAATCTGAATATGGTGTTTCCAATCTGAATATGGGGTTACCAATCAGAATATGGGGTTACCAAACAGAATCTGAATATGGTGTTTCCAATCTGAATATGGGGTTACCAATCAGAATCTGAATATGGGGTTACCAATCAGAATATGGGGTCACCAATCAGAATCTGAATATGGTGTTTCCAATCTGAATATGGTGTTACCAATCAGAATCTGAATATGGGGTTACCAATCAGAATCTGAATATGGTGTTTCCAATCTGAATATGGGGTTACCAATCAGAATCTGAATATGGGGTTACCAATCAGAATATGGGGTTACCATTCAGAATCTGAATATTGGGTTACCAATCAGAATATGGGGTTACCAAACAGAATCTGAATATGGTGTTTCCAATCTGAATATGGGGTTGCCAATCAGAATCTGAATATGGGGTTACCAATCAGAATATGGGGTTACCAATCAGAATCTGAATATGGGGTTACCAATCAGAATATGGGGTTACCAATCAGAATCTGAATATGGTGTTTTCAATCTGAATATGGGGTTACCAATCAGAATCTGAATATGAGGCTACCAATCAGAATCTGAATATGGAGTTACCAGTCAGAATCTGAATATGAGGCTACTAATCAGAATCTGAATATGGGGTTACCAATCAGAATATGAGGTTACCAATCAGAATCTGAATATGGTGTTTCCAATCTGAATATGGGGTTACCAATCAGAATCTGAATATGGGGTTACCAATCAGAATATGGGGTTACCATTCAGAATCTGAATATGGGGTTACCAATCAGAATATGGGGTTACCAAACAGAATCTGAATATGGTGTTTCCAATCTGAATATGGGGTTACCAATCAGAATCTGAATATGGGGTTACCAATCAGAATATGGGGTTACCAATCAGAATCTGAATATGGGGTTGCCAATCAGAATATGGGGTTGCCAATCAGAATCTGAATATGGTGTTTCCAATCTGAATATGGGGTTACCAATCAGAATCTGAATATGAGGCTACCAATCAGAATCTGAATATGGAGTTACCAGTCAGAATCTGAATATGAGGCTACTAATCAGAATCTGAATATGGAGTTACCAGTCAGAATCTGAATATGAGGCTACCAAACAGAATCTGAATATGGTGCTTCCAATCTGAATGTGGGGTTACCAATCAAAATCTGAATATGGGGTTACCAATCAGAATTTGAATATGGGGTCACCAATCAGAATATGGGGTCACCAATCAGAATATGGGGTCACCAATCAGAATATGGGGTCACCAATCAGAATCTGAATATGGGGTTACCAATCAGAATCTTTCCATTATATACAATGAGTGGTTATCGCCCACAATGCATTGCATATATGTGCAATAACATGCTCAGTATCATAATATTTGAATTCATCTCAACTTGCTTTAAGGAGTAAGGCTTCAATAGTTTAACTATGTTATATTTGCAGTCAGATACCAGTGTTTGTTCAAGTACAGCAAAAATGGAGACGCATGTACGTTGGTCAATGTGAGGGACCCGGAATGAGGACAAGCTTTGATATGGTGCATCTCAAGAAAATACCCCACCAGTTTAATCACCTAGCAGGATTATTAGGTGTTTTCAAATCAAAAATAGTGAGTAAAGAATCTTATTGGGTATATTAGCAAGTTTATATTAAATAATAATAATGAATTAATCGTATGTTCCTTTTAAACAGTGTCTACTGTTTTTCTCATACATTGGTGCAATATGACTGTTGGTTTTCACTAGTCCAAACTAATCATTGAATGTTGCAATGAAACTAACTTGTACATGTAATACTATGAGTTGAAAGTTTATTTGAAAAAATATCAGGGGTATTATCTCTGCTGATAATATCAAAAACTGTCAGTGACCATAACTGTGAATGTATGTTCATTAATGTGATTAGCATAAATTAGCATATAATTCATGTGTAGTTTTTTTGGCACGCTGAATTGGTCATATGGTTGTATCCTCAGCTGTATTATTCAATTGTCTTTAGTTTTGAGATAATACAAGCCCCTGAAGTCTCTCGTATCAACCAGCTTAACAAATAAGTGTTATCGGGTGATAACCACATCATATATGTCCCATCTCAAGCATGCGTGGTACAACGACTACCACTCTCTAAATTTGAATTATCCGAGTGCTTTAGCTCAGTGTCTAACTGAATATATATATGATAGTGTGAAGTTGCTGCAAGTTATGGTTATGACTAACTATGGCCACACTACCACAATCTTTGGATAAACAAGGCGAGTAATCGTTATGTAAACTTTGAGTACATGTCTTCTGTCGTTATGGACTTTCATAGTTTCATGCTGTTTTATTTTCATAGTCAACTCCAGTGTCTTCACCACCTCCAGTGAGTGTAGCTGTGCGATTCACATACATACTACAAGATTGGACAAATTACTCATGGCCTCAACTGCCTCCAGGTACCTACGCATCATTGTATCTATCATATTTCAGATTCTACAATTTGGCCATGACTTATTATGTTTTTTGTGTGCAATTAATAGGTTTCTATATTCTTACACAGTACTGTAATTTTTTTTTCTTTGTATCAATCACATTTGTTCTATTAGTAGCTCATACACTAACATAAATTAAGGTCAAAATAGGTAATATTTTAATGATTCAGGATACAGCCAATGTGATTTTTGCTTACACATGTGTGTGCTTCTAGTGGCGATGCATTTATGATAGTTATTGCCTTGCTACAGGCCAGTACTTGAACCACACAACCTCAGAAAAAAAATTTGTTTAAATATACTTTCTTGCAGATTGTGATGCAACTTATCACGAAGTACACTTTAAACATTCTTAAATACATGTAGCTTTGGTAAATGTGCCAATTTAAACCAGTCAAAGTTGTTGCTATCATCAAGATTTTGTTCTCTGTCTTTGTATTTTCAAACTACTCAATAAAATGTTTTGTTTATCAATAGATTTTGATGCTCCTTCGGGGAGTGAAGTTGGTAATTCTGGTTTTGGTAAATTGCCATTCGGTGCTGTGGAAGATCCTGTCAGTGAGCTTCATTTAGCGACAACATGGCCATCTTTGTCTGAAGATATGATTGTTGATAATGACGTGTACTCGTAAGTATATCACATCAGTAATTGTCTTTCCTGTCTGAATCAAACTGCTCAAAAATATTTCATACTGTAATTTTCCTTTAATGATAAATGCGGCTAAGTAGCAAAAATGGTAACAATTTGAAAGACGACATTTGCTTGATAATTTCTTAGCGAAAGGTTTCATCAAATAATTAAAAAGAGGGGTACCCCACTTTTTTCCATGCAGTCAATGACTTCATGATTTCTCTCATAGTGTCAAGGGATTCTGGGGGCCTTTAATTTTATTTTTAATTCTGTTAGAATTTAATATTGTTTTAATAAATACAACAGAAGTGTTGTGTCATCACAGGACACACTGAACCCTGTAATGTGATACACTGTACTTGGTACCAGCCAAATTCCTTTCACCAAGCTTTTACACTACCGGTAGTGTAGTTTGTAATATTTGTACATGAAAATTGATATTTTTTGCATATAAAAGTAGTCATGTTAGTGAAATACTGTTTAGTGATTTAAATACTCATGTTATTCATAATAAAATCTTAAAATAGTTAATAACTAACACAAAATAAAGCTCATGTTTCTGTAGAAATTCTAGATTCCTACGAGTGTTAAATAGAATGTCTTTATATCACCTGTAGAGTACACTCCAGTCAAGGAACTAGCACCTAACTATTGCTAATTTCACTTTTTTGTGACCTGTTTGCCATTTACAAATCATTAATTACTCCCCGTTCCGACGCAGTTCGAAAACGGGGACTTATGTTTTGACCTCTGTGCATGCGTGTGTGCATGCTTGCATGCGTGCAGTCGGACCTGTATCTTAGAAATGCCTGAACCAATCACAATCAAACTTCACACATACATTATACATCATATTATACATATGCACGTCAATTTGTTTCTTGATCTGATTCAAGATGGCCGAATGGCGGCCATTTTTGTTCTAAAAATCATCAAAATCAAGCATTTCTCTGCTGTTTACAGATGGATTTTGTTCAAACTTGGTATATACGTTGGACATCATAGGACCTTGATGCACATCATTTTGTTTTTCAGATAAGAATCAAAATAGCCGACTGGTGGCCATTTTGTTTTAATGAATGTGGTTCTAGTGCCATATCTCTGACTTGCTGTGACTGATTATGTTCAAATTTTAAATATCATTATACATCATGTCATAGATATACAGAGATATTGGTTTGACGGTCCTATTAAAAATGGCCGAATGGTGGCCATTTTTGTGCTAAAAAATCATCAAATATCAAGCATTTCTGGCATTTTTGGATGGATTTTGTTCAAACTTGATACATACATTAGACATTACAGATTCCTGATGCACGTTATTTTATTTTTTAGATCATATTCAGAATGGCTGACTAGTGACCATTTTGTTTTAATGAATGGGCTTCTAGAGCCACATCTCTGACATGCTTTGACTGACTATGTTCAAATTTATATATTCATTATACATGTATTCAAAATGGCTGATTTTGTTTTAATTAATGCTGTTCCAGAGCAATATCTCTCAATACTCGTTTGATGATCAGATACAATCATTTAAATGTTAAACAATCATCATAATCATATTCCTGACATGTTTATACTCCAGCTATATTACTATAAACAAAACTATATATCTTAAATTTGATAACTAACGGGACTGTGCCATGCATGGCTTGTTAATTAATTAATTATTTGTATGATATGCATCTGATCTAAGCAGCATTGTTGGCAACTGAGGTTTACAATTCAGTGTTTCTGCAATTGTTTTTTTTTTGATTTTCAAATAGCCAAAGGGAACAACTGAACAAAATTCAGGAAATTCTTGCGTCAAAATAGTGATTTCCATTTGTATGTAGATCATGTTACGATAATATTACCATTCTGTCAAATATTTTGCAGAGATCTGGATCCAATCCAAGCTCCCCAGTGGTCTGTAAGAATAAGAATGATGGAAAAACCACAATGTTTATTAGGTACTGTACCAGCATGTAAAAATCATAAATTGTGCTTCCTGAATCAAATGACTTTCTGCTGATGAAGTTATTAAATATGGAAATTTATACTTTTTATTATAGGTGAATATTTAGGTGACTTTGGTAAACTATGCAAACGATCTGAATCTGTTGAACAGTTACTTGGAAGAAGTTTTTATCAAGATGATTCAGGTAATCACTAGCACTGAATTGGGTATACTGCATTAATGCATTAATTATTCACTGGGATTTAATTTCGCTATTTTCGCTAATAGGTAAATTTCTCTAAATTAAATCTATGTGAACATGTTAAATTAAAAATAAAACTCATTGTTTCCTTGACAAATTCATGAAATTAAAACACAGTGAATATGCTCAAAACATTAAAATAGTGAAAATAAATGGTTTTACAGATTAAAATATTGCTGCAATTTCACATCCACAAAGATACAGTGACATCAAAATGAGCTCCTCCTCAATCAATGTGTGGTTCCAATCTCAGCCAATGTCCCAGCACAGGACATCCACAGAAAGCAAAAATGAACATGAAGAAAAATGGGGACAGCAGGCCATGTGATTAAAGTGCTATCATTCTGTGGTTAATCAACTGTTGAGTCTGTGAAATTAGAATTTCATTTTATACAGAAAATTAGTTATTTTGAAATATTAACTAATCATGACTACTAATTTAAAAGTTGATTTATAGGACTGGTAGGCTAAACATGTTAGTTTCATCACCAAACTTCAAGTACATGTATTTCTGTATAAATATCCACCCTTATTGCCCATTACTATTATCTTCTAAAATGTTTAGGTAAGCCATATGCAAGCACATATAATAATACAAGTTTATTACAAGGATACATGTACCTTAAAGTACATGTATTGTGTGGAGTCCGGTCAAACCCTGGTGGCAGCCATGTTTGTTTTTATTATTAGAGGACGCTTACATGCATAATCATTCCATATTTGGAATTTGCATTTTCCGAATTTGCATTTTCCAATATGGTAGGATAAATATCCCCTGTAAAATAGCCCAAAATTACGGCATGCTGTAACTTATGAAGTTACAGTGACAGATGTAAAATGATATATTATATTTGCTTATAGTAATGAATATGGTTCAGTAAATGACAGTTTGGCTATTGCTACACACATTTGATGCTCAGCTACAGGTGGTGAATGGTCCACAACACGAACAGTTCTGTCGTACTATTTGATTTCTTTGACAGTAATATTACTTTATGTTGTATCTGCTGTACAGATACTGCGGATATTAGCCAAGCCTTGCAGAGACTAACAGAGCCTGTGCCTATGCATATACCAACACTGTCATCAGTCGTGACGAGAGCTAGAACCAGAATGCATCACAAGAAACAAATGGAAGAGGAACCCATACCTGGAGACATACTCAATGAGATATTACAGGTACTGTAAAATGACTTATTTTCACTGGGTTTAAATTTCGCTGATTTACCATTTCAGGCATATTCAGTGCATTTTAAATTCACGGTTTTATCATTTTATAGATAATGTGTTCTATGCTCAATTTGACATATTCACTGGCTTTTAATTTAGCACATTTTCCAATCAGCGAAATAAGCAAAATTAAAACCCAGTGAATAATTAACCCCTTTACAGTATACTGATGCATGCTGGGATAGCAGGGATGTTTGTGTGATTGTTTCTAATCAATGTTGTGATGACCTCCATTTAACTTACATCTACCAAGTGACAACCCACACTATTTTTCATAATTTATATTAATATTTAATATCAAATTTACCGGTTTGTGCATGGAATGTGTGTCGTGGGCTGTTTACTGTACACAACATCTTTGCAATCTATACACTGTTATTTCAGTTTAAAATATGTACATGCATGTATAACAACTCTGATTGAAAGTGTTTCTAAAGTGTACACCATATAACCATACTTGTTTATCTCTACTCAGTTTCTTTTTCCTGATGCTGGTTTGATAGCATGCAGTGACACTGGAGAGAAAACTCTGATACGA